GTCGAGGGGAGGAGAAAATTTTTATGCCATTGACAATATTATTCTCTCCTGAAGTTGCTACTCATCTTTGACTTGCCACTGCTTTGGTTAGCATAGTTTCTCTCCTACAATTCATTTATCTTTTTCATTTATTTAGGTGTCTCACATAAGCAGGGAAGAATTCCTGCCGTACATGTAACTTATGCTTTCCACACTCAGTTGTCCTTGCTAAGTAATGTCCGATTCTAGAGTCAGTTGCTCTAGTTCTGTAACTCTGAAACATACTCAGACTAGTATGCTGTAAACATATAGAAAAATAAGCTTTTTAGTTTACATATTTGTCATTGCAGCCAATTTCATTATAATCAACTATGTTCATGTGTTTATAGAAGTAATTGTAAAGTGTACATCTGAACTCTGGTGTGACAATGGAAAGTAACTGCAGATGGGGACTTTGCTTAAGTGCTCTGGGAACAGTGCCAAAGGTCTCTGTCATACTGAAAAAAGAGGAAAGTCTATTTGGTTGTCACTTTTAAGGAGCCATCATTTTGGGAATAAAATTCTTCCTGTTTAATCTAGTGCCTTTTGTTGTAATGGTCTTCACCATTAGTATTGGATTAAGGTAGTTATTTTTAAAACTGTCTTACCTGTAGCTGGTGGTAAAGCAGCTACACGTTAACAGATTGATCTTAGGGAAAAAAGGTGGAGGACCAATGTGTTGCAGTGAAATACTAGTGAGACTTACAAATACAATATTGATAAGTTTCCTGCATATCGTCTTGAAGTTAAGTAGCCCTTGAAAATTAATTGGCATTTAAACAAACTTGTAAACAAGAATCGATAAGATTTTAAAAACTGGAAGAGGAACATATTTAGAAGACAAAACAGCTGTTCGGAATCATACATGAAGACTAAAATTGGCTTTCATCTTCTATATGGCAGAGTACTTTCTTCTTTTAATATAGCCGGTATCAAATAAGGGACTGTAATGAAACCTGTGTTTACATTTGAAAAATTGAAACTATAAAAAAAGGTGATATTAAGTATAAAACTATTTTGATATTTAAAAAGATAATTCTTCCTACAGACTTAATATTAAGTCACTAGAAGGTCCAAATTGAGATATCATTTGCAAATAATTTATTCTGTACTCTAGCAGTGTAAGACAGACTATTTCTTCTCAAGTAGCAGGGAAGCATATCAGTGGTGAAGAATTGAGGAACTGTCTAGAAAGTCACCAAAAGAAAGCCAGAACACTTTCAAACCCAGGTGCTAATGCGTTATCAAGCCTGTTTGGAAAACTTGTTGAATGGGAGAAATATAATAAAAATCATTGTGTGGATAGAGGGCAGTTCATCTGATTGTGTTTTATTTAGGAAGCATCTTTAAGAGAACATAATACCTGGAACATACCTAAACTTAATTCAAGCCAATTATCACAAAAGTCTAGTAGCATTGGCTTTAACTTGGCTATTGAAAATACTAGTTATTAACTTTGGAGATGTCATTTTTGTTTCAGATTGAGCCTCAAGAGATAGCAGAAAACAGCTTTTGGGTAAAAGCTGAAGAAGATAAATTCGAAAACCCAGAACTGTTTGCAAAATTGGCACTTACCTTTGGAACACAAATGAAAGGTACATTCTTCTTTTACTTTGTATTATACTTTTATTAAGTTTAAAACTGTGCAATGACAGTCTCTTCTATGTTTTGTGCAATACCATGGAATTCATATAATGATTTTGTAGCAGGAAGATGATTTAAAACATATGTTGTTATTAAGTGTAGCAGTTTGTTACAAGAATTGCTCCTCCTGCACTTGGGGAGGAACCTTTTGTAGTAATACCTCTTAAAAGTGCAGGGTATGTTGCAGAAAGATGTGAATTTTCTTCAAATTAAATTATAATTAAATTTAAATTCTAATCCTAAAATCATACTTATCTGCATTAATATTCTTAGCTGCAGGAATTGTAAGTTGTCAGGTTCTTTTAGATATTCCACGCATGGAGGGTTTGTGTAACAAAGCTTACTTGCTTGTATCACTCTACTAAATCAAAATCCACTACAAGTACAAGACTTAGAACATAGCAGTTACAATATACAGTTGAATCGTAAAATCACAGCTCTATAATATGCCTACTGTCACGATTCTGGAATATGTGGATTGGAACCATCGTTCTTTTCGAAGTTCTTGTGCTTGTGTTCTTAGTCTTTGCTCTCACTTTTCTTTTTTCTTAAATAAAAAATATTTAAATGTACTCCTTTAATTAGTATTTAAATTTGTGTTGTGTAATCTAAAAAGCATTCCCCCCCCCCCCCCCCCAAAAAAACCCTCGATCGTTATA